CTCTCAGTTCTTGGCATTTCCCCATATATGTATTGGAATCAGGTTGGCCTATTCCACGGGAAAAAAAAATCTTGGGGATTTTGTTGCGGTGGTATGAAACCACAGATCATTTGGGGAGAATTGATACCTTTATAATAATCAGCCTTTTGACTTATAAACAAGGACTGTTTCTCCATTCATTCAGGCCTTCTTTAATGACTTTTTTTTTTTAAGTCTTTATTTATTTGAGAGAGAGAGGGTGAAGGGGGGTGGGGAGGAGGGGCAGAGGGAGAGGGAGAAGCAGGCTTCCCTCGGAGCAGGGAGCCCGGTGTGGGACTCGATCCCAGGACCCTGGGATCATGACCTGAGCTGAAAGCAGACGTTTAATGACTGAGCCACCCAGGCGCCCCACACATCACCTTTTTTAAATAAAATTTTATTTTATATCTCTTGTTGCAGAAATATGACTGAAATATATATATTTGGGGGAGTCGGTGAATTTACCAACTCTTGTATTGGCCCTAATAATTTAGGCATAGATTCTGTTTGTATTATTTTTGTTCTCATTCACCTTCTCTGGGAATAACAGCCACTCAATTTCCCCCCAACCTTTCCAGACTTCTGGTACTACATGAAAAGAAGTGATGATAACAGGCATCTTTGTCTTGCTCCCTTATTGAAAGGGGAAGTTTCTATTGTTTCACAACTTAATGTTTACTGTGATTTTTTTCTCGAGCATCTGGATCAGAGCCTCGTCTGGGTGCTATGCGCTGGGTCATTTCTCCAGCTCTGTCTTCCAATGAGCTGATCCCATCCCTGTCTAATCTCCTGCTAACCCACACCATCGGGATCTTTAACTTTGTTTATTCTAGTTTCCATTTCTACAAGTTCTGTTTGGTTCTTTTTCAAATACACCAGGTCACTTTCTCTAGGCCCTTGTCCTTTGCAGGTATTTTCTTTAAACATAATAAACATAAATTGAATATAGTACATCCGTGGTCCTGAATATCAGAGTCACCCACATCCCAGGGACGGGGCAGATCACTGTCATCCCTTTAGAGGTAAGGAAGCCAGGAGGGTATGGTGGGGGAGAAGAATAGTCCAGGGGCCCAAGGTCATCCCAGCCGAGCCTCCTGCTGGGCCGCTCTTGATGCCCTGAAATCCTCACGCGGCCCAGAGCCATGTGGGATGGCCCGGAGCAGACAGAGAAGGCCTGGTCTCTGGGCCTCGGGTCCTTAGCTGACACTTCCCAGGGGTTTTAAAAGCATTTTCCTGATAAAATTGTAACAGATTACAGGGGGCCCATCTGCCATCCCTCTAGGCCGTAAACTCTGGAAGGGCTCATCTGCAGATGTCCCACGGCACACAGTTTCTGAGTGAACGAGGTCGGGAACGCCCTGGATGATCTGGGTCAGGGCCTCCCTCAGGGGGACGATCACAGCGGCTGGGAGGCCGTAGGGCTTCTGCACACTCCCATGACCAGGACCTCCCCTGGAAGGAGGGAGCTGCATCGGGCGGTGAGTGGGGACCTGGGAGCCATGGGGTTCTGTGGGCATCTGGGACCGAGGCAAGAAGCTGTGGCTTCTGGCAGAGGAAACGTGCTCACCCCAGCCTCGCACTCACCTGGAGACTCTGCTGCTCTCTGGGTGCTCGTCAGCGCTCTCTTTGGAGGACACCTTGAGAAGGACAAAAGAAAGAAGCATCAAAAGGTTGTCAGTGACGCTTTCTGCCAACAGACACGGGCCACCATGTTTAACCCAGGACTAGATAAACCACAGCGGGAAAGGCGCCTATGGCTCTCCAGTTGCATCTGCTTACTTCACAGGTGGGAAGACAGGCTGGGGCAGGGGGTGACTTTATGAAGCTCACACATGTGGCCGGCGACCT